CCCAAGTTTTCTTCACAGGGGGGGGAACTGGAAAGCCAGGAGCAGAACATCCTGCCGCAGGTCCCTGAAGGAATCAATGGCAGGTCCCTGGACCCCAATCTACACAATGTCTTAGCCAGGGAGATCAGTCGCTGCCTGTCCCCTCTGCTCATGCAGCAGTTGATGAGCAGAGCCCATTCCCCTGAGAACTGTAGGAGAGGGATCACAAAGCTCCTTAGCAGATGACTACAAAGTCCTCCCTGCTCATCAGCAGCCACATACAAAACCGGGGGAAAGCAGAGCTGCCCTGACGACAACCTGGGGGCTGCACGGCACCTGGGCGCGCACAAGAACCAGCAGTCACCTGCCAGCTCTTTAACCCCGCAGGCTCGTCCCACTCGGGAACCCGCTTTGTTAGAAACAGGCCTGGCCCCAGCCCCGCCACCAGCACTTCCAAGCCTCCTGTGACAGCAGCCAAATTAGCGTAGCCATTGACCGCCGTCAATCTACATGACGTCTTAAATGGGGAGATAACGTGCTCCTGAATCAATCGCTGGCAAAGCTTTCACCTTATTAGTCACATTCCTGGAATGCACGCGCCGAACGCCTGCCAGCAATTGCACATTAGTACAAGCAAATTAAACACAGGACACGGTTTACCCTGCACCGCTCTGGGACCCAAGGAACACAGCTCACTACTTACCATGCTGCCAGAGGAGCGACGCGGAGCGAGGCCTGGGGCCCGGGCGCAGACAGGCGGCCAGAGGGACCCGCGGTGCCCTGCAGGCTGCCTGCACCGGGATGGGGGATCAGGGTGCAGAGCCCGTACTGTTGAAGGTCTCCCCCGACCCTGCTTCTCCCGCCAGCTCTTGGTGCCTCGGGGGTGGGGGACAGGACTCCCGCAGTTCACAGGGCAGTGTGATAACCCTCAGGTCTGGGTCCCAGGCCTCAGCACTGCTCCGGGCGCTCCCGCGGCACAGCTGTCTGATAACCTTTCGCAGGCTATTTCCAGGGGCAGCTAAAAGCGGAGCCCCCGCCTCAGCAGGGGGCTTTTGCTTTCACGTCTGGGCCTGGGAAGGCAGGGCCCGCCTGGGAGCCAGGATTCCCAGGGCCTGGTCCCAGCTCTGCTACTGGCTTGCTGAGTGACTGGGGCGGGGCCCGGCCCCTCCTCAAGGCGGATGAACACGGGAGGAGCTGGCTGCTCAGCTGGAAACAGCATGTGAAGGAGGTTTACTTCGGGGTGCACGAGATGCTGACCCCCCCCCACTTCCCCTCCCTCAGCTCCGGACGTGGCCATGGCTGATCTGACTCCAATGCCTCCCCCGGCAGCACTCGCTGTCCCTCCTGCGAGCAGAGGGCTGGCATCTCTGGGGAACCCGCGCTGCTCTTGCTGGGCAGTCGCACCTTCCAGGAGCGGGGGTGGTTGGGTAGAGGCCCTACAGACGGAGCTGCCTGATCGTACTAGTGGAGCCAACCTACCAACGTGGAGCCGGCTGGCTGGGGAGACTCGAGAGCATCCCCAGTGAGTCTCTCCATAGCCCTGGGCACCGAACACAACCCCTGCCCGCGAGAAGCCTCCCGCCAGCATGGGCTACAGAAACGCCCTAAACAGCCCCAAGGGCAGCACGTGTCAGGGGACATCCCCAGCAGAAAACCGCTGCTGCCCTGCACCAGCCACCAAGGGCACGTCACGTACGCATCCACTCACTTTCCAAAGGGCGTTTCCACTCAGTAACTGGCCCTTCCGCCTTATTTCTGTGCTGCAGCTCTCCTGCTCCTCAGCCCCGGCTCCCCAGC